TAGTTATCTCTTCCCATCTCACAAAGAAAACACTGAAAGGAATATGATGCGTGGCTTTCACGCGGCTGGCATTAGAGGAGTAAAGCAGAAAGGAAAAGTTACGTGTGCTGATCGATAAAAAACATGGGAAATGTACATGCAGGGGACAAATTCAAGAAATAATAACCAAACTTAGTAAGGTGCTGGGTCACAATGTTTCCGAGTCTCTGGGAATCAACTGGAGGGATGAACACCATTCATCCAAAACGGATTCCCTCATTTGGTGTTTTGATGATAGTGGTGGTGGGGAGAGCCGTTTAACACACCAGTGCAAAAGCTCCTGCAGGTGTTCCACCGGGTTGAGATCTGGTGACTGCGAAGGTCACACATTGAATTATTCACATCATTTTCACAATCCTCAACCTGTTTTGTGAGCCCTCGTGCCCCGTGCATGAGGGCATTCAGGAAGAGACCAGACATGTGAAAAGACGAACAACCAGAGTGATTTTTTATTGATTCGCACTGACCTTTCGTCTAACAGCGAAAAACGATCCAAATCGTGCCAGAAAAAATCCCCCAAAAGTACAAAAGAGCCACTGCTGGTGTATATGAGTCAATTTATACTTGGTTAATGTTGTGAGGAGTTTAACCCAGATTCGTGTTTTACTATAACTAACCTGTAAAATATAGATAAATATAATAACAATAATAAGTCAAATCTAAAAAAGGATCCTAGTTGGACACTCCTGAGTGAAAGTCTTCTGTTTTGACCCAAACACCTAGCTTGACCTCCCCCCTTTGTGGACTTCTTTACACTTTATAGTTTGTCACCTGACTTCTAAAGGCTTGAGTGGCAGAAAGCAAACTTCCCCCCTCATACAACATCTGTCTTTAAGATTGCTCTTCTGTAATGTTTGAAGGAGCGTCACAGTCATCAGTTGTGTACCACCCACCATGATTTCCAGTGGATCTAAATGCAGATGTGCTTTAAGTTAATGAAGCAAATAACAGTTGAGCGTTGTGACTGAAGTGTCTGCCGCTTCTTTCAAAGGGATCTTTTCCTCCTTCCATTGTGGTAGAAAATGAGAATCCACTGGGCCTGCTCAGCATTTATCTACATGCCACGGAGCATGAGTGGATGTTAATTGCTTAATTGTACCATGCAGTGCACCTGTGTGGAAACATCTGCACTGGCTGTGTCTCTCCACTCATTTATTCAGGGTTTTTCTTTTAGATAGCCTCATTTATTATTGCAGATGTTTTGCTTTGCACGGGAGGACTAAATTAGTCAGATATTGTGATTGGAGTGCCTTTGTTTATCCGTGATGCAGTCCATGTTCAGTACGAGAAAAAAGAAACACCGTAGCAGACATGAGGCAAAAAAAATAAATCACTCAAAACTCTGGAACAGTGAAAGATTTTTAAAATCTTCCTTTCAAAATCAGTCATCACAAATAAGGGACAGTTGTATAAATAGGATAGACCATAAAATAATTAACAATATCCCATGACTAGACTCTTATCTACGCACATAAAAAGCGTTTTCTTATCAGCGAGACCATTAAATGTTGCTGTGGCTAATGGTCACTTATCCGAACAGAACAGAGATCTTACGCGTTTTATTTACATGAATTGTTCCAAGTGTTGATGCCAAATTGTTGTCAAGGTGTAATGTGCTAATGTAATTTAGCTTTAAAAGAAAAACAAAAAAAGATCTTTCTACAGAGTGCGCCGCACAAGTCTACAAGCCGTGAACATTACCAGTCAGTTGATTTTGTGCTGTGCTCTTCTCAAACTGCGCATTTCAACACACAGCATCTCCATGAGGATTTGACTGAAGCTTCACTTGGCTCTGGATTACTTTGAAGCAGCAGGGGTGCACAGTGTAAGTCGGAACAAGTAACAGTCAGAGTTATCAAACTGCCTACAAATGATCGTGTTCCTGCTACAGAGGTTCACGCATGTTTGCCATGAATGACACGAGTTCGGTGGGTTTTTTTCCTCCTTTTCTAACTTGCCTTTTTATTACTCTGTGGTTAAAATTAGAGGGGAGGAAAAACAGCTCAAATTGCTCATGACACGAACAACAGGAGGAACATGTTGTGATTTGGAAATTTAACGTCTAAAAAGCCTCATCTGTACTTCTGGTTAAAGTTTAAATATATAGAAATAGGCACAGATTCTGTGTCGCTGCCATTATACAACTAGAGCCAGAGCCACGGGCTAAAAGCAGCCTTTCTGTCCTTTAGCTTTCCCACTTTTCTCTGTTTGTGTCCCTTTTCCTCCTGCTCATTGACTCTGCCTGTAAGGTGCTTTTAGCGGGCCTTGTGTGGCCGGGTTAGAGATGGATGTGTGGCCCTTGGGAGCCGCAGGCAGAGTGCAACACTGATCATGTCAGACAGGCTGGGGAGGCTGCATAAGATCATCATCACCCAGCAGTGGAGTGAATCGCCGCAGTGGCACTTTCACACAACCTCTGACCTCCGGTGCAACCTCTGAGGTCATGATCAAGGTCAGGGGTCAGCGAGGGCCTCAGCGATCGTGGCGACCGCAGGCCCCGCCTGGCTCTTCTTCTCCTTGTTTGTGTTCTCCCCTTCATTTTTCTCCTCTCACTTTTCTCTTCCCCTCATCTTCTATCTGTTTCTTTATCGCTCACACTCTCTGTTCGCCCCGGCGGGACCAATTGAGACATCCAATCCCCTGGGAGTGTGAAAAGGAGAGCAAGAGAAAATCAATAGGGAAGATGAGTGAAGACCTGGAGGTCCCATCAAAAACTGAATGCTTCTCTGTGTGCTGGCATGATTCACACATCCACAAAAACACATACAGATACACAGCGGTATTGCTTTTGAGAGACAGGAAGGTAGCAGTAAACAGCAGTCTGGAAATCGTAGCAAACAACTGGAAGGGTCTGCAAAACATCCAGTTAGATGGCTTCCCAGGTCAAAACAGAGTGACATGAAGAGCTCTTCTGTCTGTTTTGTGTGTGTGTGTGTTTTGTCCTTTTATCTAGATTGCTTACATGTGCCCACAAGTCTGTTGTTGGAGAGATGTTTGAACCAAGAAAGACGCAATATCGATCTCTCCAGAGAGATTCAAGGTCTGCAACAACAAGTGAAAGAGCACGATGTCACATAAGTTCTCTTCCAGCAGGCGAGATGACACAAACATAAATGCCAGGCTTTGTGTGTATCGTCGTGGCTGTAATCTGAGCTGTGCAAAATGTCACCATATCACCAATCAGCTCGACTTTAATTATAGTACATTTGCAGACACATTTGCAGAAACATTTGCATGGCTTTGTGCTGCATAAAAGGCTTAAAATAAATAAAACTGAACCAATAAAAGGAAAAAACAAACTCATCCCTATGTGTCATTTCCTGCACTCAAGAGCCTCTGCTATTTTGGAGAAGAAGCACACATGTTTATAATGTTAAACCTCACTACTCGTCTACATAACTTATGTCTGGGTAGATTTCTTCCCAACACAAGATAACCCCAGGCAGGACATTAAATGATTGGCTGAAAATAGAACTGTTCAGATGAAAGGGAGAATAAATAATGCACAGAGAATACAAAACCTCTTATGGGGATAACTAGTCGTGCATGCACATGCACACATTTCTTCCATGGTGAAGAAAAGTGAATGGATGTAACAGGAAGGAGGAGGACCCAGCGGAGACACACATGCTTCTTGCTTCATCTCCTCCCACTCCTCGTCTGCCATTTTTTTCCGCTCACATTCAGACTTCATGACATACTCTGTGTCTGTGGGGAGGAATAACATCGTCCCAGTCACGGCGTGTTTTTCCTGCCCACCAGAGCTCAGACACAACACACAGTGCACGGTTTCCATCCCTGCTGCCTCATCATTTTTTATGAGTTTTGATCAGAATGGATTCATATGATGACAACAGCCCGGACAGTTGATCCTTTTACAGGGAGAGTAATGCGCCATTGTGTTAACAACTTTTTTTTTTTAAATTTGAAATCACCAAATGAAAACAGTGAGTCACATCGTAGTTAGAGGGTATTGCAATGTTGGGTTATATCTAATAAATAAAACATTCAAGACAAACCTTTTCAAAGCACCGCTGCTGTATGACTAATTTGCAGCTGGGATGTTTATTCATTGGCGAAATTAGACATGCACGTTTTGAGGAAGATCCTTAATGTCACTACACACCGAGCAAACGGCACAGGACGGCGCACGGGCAAGCTTTGCGCTTGTGTAGGGAGACACCAAGTGGTCAGTGACAGGTGTAGCGTCTCACAAGAGGCCGTGTCAAGTTTTCAGGGGCCAAAGAACTGCTGCTGACAAGAGCTTCCGTGTGTCATCCTTTAAAATGCGAGGGATTGTTTACACGACTTAATAATCATAAACAGTAGTTCAGGGGTTAGAGCCATGCAATAGTGTTCAGTGTTACACTCGATTTAAACCTCAGTCTTACCTTGTTTGGATTATACTCGCAAACTGACTCACGAGCCGATTTCTAAAGGGCCTTCTAATTAAAAAACATTTGCTTATTTTATGAGCGGATCGCCGCGCCCTGGGTCAAGATGTTTACCCACGCTAAAAGTGCCCGAAAAGTCCTCCGACAGTCAACAGGCCTCACAAAGGCCCCATTCAGCTGTAACTGGAACCTACGCTGCCACGTCAAGTATATCCTACAGCACAGGGACAAACTTTTACTTTTGCTTTACATGAGCCATGGCGGTAGTTGGAAGTTTCTCGACTAGTCGGACAGGTGAGACAACGATGAGGCAACAATAGAAGGAGTATTTTGGAGCTGTGGAACCCCATAAGCTTTATTGGCTTAACTGTACCTTGCTCTCTTTGTCGCACCTGAAACTACAATGACTTTAAAAGTAGAGCACACTGGGTGTGACTGCACGACTGTAATGGACTCCGGTGTTTAACCTACTTTCCCCGAAAAGCCTCAAATGGCTGTGCGGATATCTCAAAGACGCAAACTGATATTACAGCAGTTTTGGGGGAATCCGCAGGGTGAAGGGCGTCGATGGGAATTGGGGATCTCTGGAGACCAGAGGGCCGCCCCTCAATCGCAGCTCACGGAGCAGACAGGCGCTCAGGGTTATTCCGGCGGAAAAACCGCTGCGTGTGTGTTCTAACAGGGGTCTGCTCCTCTGTGTGCGTGGCCACCGTGGTTTTCCTGTTACTCGTGGGAGTCTGCCTGCTCTACCTGCCGGATGCATTAGCGCCTGACCCGCTGGTTTCTCTCAGCCCGGTGACGCTGCTGATTTGGACGTATCCATTCGGTCAGTATCGAGAACTTCCGGACTGCCTCGAGCTGTTTCAGATAGACGGCTGCACGCTCACGGACGACGAGCTCAGGTACCCACAGGCTGACGCCGTGATAATTCACCACCGGGAGATTGCCACTGGCTACGCCGATCTCCCACCAGAACCGCGGCCACCTGCGCAAAAGTGGATATGGATGAACTTCGAGTCTCCCACGCACACGCGTGGACTCTGGCGTTTAGGCGGTGTTTTTAACCTCACGATGAGCTACCGGACAGACTCGGACATTTTCCTCCCCTATGGGTATCTGGTCCCCCTCGCGCGCACAGAGAGGGCTCTCCACAAGAGCTTTGTGCTGCCGCTTCGCGGATCTTACAGCTCCAAACTCCTGCGCTCACGCTTCGTGGCCTGGGTCATCAGCAACTGGTCGGAGTCCCAGGCGCGCGTGACCTTCTACTACCAGCTGCGCCAATACATCCAGATCGATGTGTTCGGGCGCGCGGGCTCGCCGTTACCGACAGGCAGCGTGGTGCCGCTCGCCAAGCGGTACCTGTTCTACCTGGCGCTGGAGAACTCCCAGCACACCGACTACATCACGGAGAAGCTGTGGAACGCCGTGCTGGCCGGTGCAGTCCCCGTGGTGCTGGGTCCATCCAGGCAGAACTATGAGCGTTTCCTGCCCCCCGAGGCCTTCATCCACGTGGACGACTTCCCCTCAGTGGAAGAGCTGGCCCAATACCTGCTGATGCTGAGGCGGAGCCCGGCTCAGATGAGACGGCACCTGGACTGGAGGAGGGGCTACGGCGTACGCCAGCCGACCTTCTTCAACGAGCACTTCTGCACGGCCTGCAGTGCGGTGAGGAAGACCAGAGGCAGGACTAATGTAGTCAGAGACCTGAGACGTTGGTTCCACTCGTGAAAACATGCATCAGACCTCCAGTACCTGTTTGAAATGACGGCAAAGCCGAGAGATAAGACCGCGAGAGGGGAAAGATTTACTAACCACATGCTGCTTCCAGAGTTTACAAATCAAATCTTTTTATCATCAGTGAAAGAGTATATTTAATTTATGTGATTTAATTAAATAATGTAATAACTTAAATACATTTATGATCATTGATCTTATCTGAGTGAATTCTTCTTCTTCTTTTTATCTTAATTTATTTATTTATTTTAACTGACTCCCATCTAGCCAGTAAGAGTCCTTCTGATAAAACAGCTGGAGTAGAGTTAACCTTCTGCACCAGGGCTTAACAACACAACATCTGTAATTTAGACCAGCGGTGTCAAACATAGGGCCTGGGGGCCAGAATCGGCCGGCAAAGACTCCAATACGGTCATCTGGACACCTTTAGAAAATCTGAAGGAGTGCATAGTATTTGAACTTCTAATTGTATTTTCATAAGTTTTACAGCTTTTCCAATTGATAAAGTGCTTTTTTAAAAAAAATGTGAATTCATAAAAATGTTATATTTTGTAATTACAGGAGAGTCAGTGCAATGAAAAACCAGAACTTTTTATGTAATTTTACATACTCACCATGTAGTTTCACTGTTCTGGCTCACTTAAGATTAAATCAGGTTGTATGTGGCCCACAGTGTAAAATTTATTTGACTTTGCTGCTTGGCAAAATTAAAATGTGTGACAAAGAAGAAAGACCACAGTCTTCAGATAATATTATTTTATTTTATTTTTTTTAAAGTGACCAAATGTTCATGTGTGACTGTGACTGTATATTAAAAATATCTGAGTGCCTGCTAATTTTGTTCAGGTTTCACACCTCTGTGAAGCAGCTTTTACCTGATAGTGAGATGGGAAAAGAAAATGTGAGGAAGAACAAACAAATATGCTGGTGCAGGAAATAAGCTTTCCGAGAGAGGGCAAACATGTTTACCTGCAACTTCCTCAAGGTGACTCAGAAAGAATGCCACATGTCCCCACCACAGCCTGCTCTTTGTGTCTGCACATCACTGATCACTTTATTGCAGCGCTGTTCCTGCTCTAACTGAGTCATTTTTAAAGGTGTCATTAGACCCCAAACCTAATACTGTTCAAACCTAAGGCGCTGGGGTTTTGCATTTTTCATTTAAGATTGCATAATAAGCACACGCGCACGCTCATTTTGCTGATATCTGTTATATATTGTTGTGGGTTCGGCTGTGGCAGTAATGCAGAAAACGAGAAAAAAAACAAGGGAGGAGGTGAACACATGTGCATCAGCAGTCACTTGATAGGACTGCTGATGATGTGATGCAGATCATTTAAATTTACACCTCTGCGTTGGGGCCGTGGCACAGAATTAACACTTCGCACTGTCAAATGAGACATTTCCTACGGGCGGCAAATAATGTTGTTCCCCATAATGAGCTGATGCCTCAACAGCTGGTGAAACCACTCACGTCTATCAGCAATAATGGTTTCAGATGGCCAGAACAGCCAGAGCCCTTATCCCTGTCTTAATCCCATTCATGCGAGCATATCTGGTTACTGTGAGTACTGGTTACCATCTTTGCTTTCAAATATAGATCCATTAATCTATACCTCTCCACTGTGGACAGAACAGGTGCTAGACAGCTGACATATGGACACACAGAAAGCAGACTTCTCTTAATGTGCATTAAAAAGCGCATCTGATCACTGAGAAGCCTACAAAAGGAGCCACACAGCGGTAACACCCTGAACAAGATATCTGACATGCTTATTATACATATACATACATATACATACATACATATTTCCCTGCAAACACTGTGATGCTTAGCAACTTTTATTTATGTGTCTCATGCTCGTTTAATTAAAATTTGTGATAGTTTACACAGTAATCAATATGACTGTCACGATGCTTCTTGTTAAGCATTAAATCTTGCAAATTAAGAAAAAAAATATGCAGAAATACAATCAACTGCATGATCGTTTCTAAACGATCTCCAATCTCTGTGATGTTTATGCTGACTGACACAGGTTGCCACCCAAGCTGTTTTCACTTAACTGAACCACAGCAGATCTGGTATCTCAGTGGGCATGTGTTACAGGCACCCACAAGAGGCTTAAAAAGAAGGAGACTTGAGTTCTGAGTAGAAACAGATCCAGGAGTTCAATGAGGTTAGAGTACAGATGCCAGTGTGCGTGTGTTTGTGTTTGTGTGTGTGTGTGTTTGTGTGTGCACGCTAATAGGGCTCACTCCCTTTTACTCTGTGAAGCTGAACTGCCTCTTCTGGCAGTTTGCATCCTCTGCTAGCAGGCTTTCACAAATATGGACCAGAGCTTAGTCAATATCATACATAAGAGATGCAAAAGAGCTTCTTCTTTGGCTCTATTTTTAAACGATTTCTTGAAAGCAGACAGTAGGTGAAAATGTGAGTTTTATGTTAAAAAAATGTCTGTTATTAACTGTTGATCAGCTTGAATTAAAATAAAAACATCAAATTCTATCACCTCTTTTTAAAAATCTATTTGTGTTTTCAAAATGTGTTTATATTTGCATTTAGATGTTCTATATTTGTGAACCATATGCCCACAAAGTGGATACAAACCAACTAATTTATTTCTTCCACATATAATAATAACTTAAAGCTAGTCAGAGATTAATATTTTAAGTAAAACATAGTCATAGTCATAGTCATTCATATTTAAAGATCACAGACTAGGTTGATTTTAAAAGTATCCTTAATGTTTTTTATGGGTTAAAAAATAGTTACCTGAATGCACTCACAGAAAGGATTCTGGTGTGTGCTGCAAAGTCCAGATTTGTTAGCATCAAAACATTACGTTTTAGCAGGGTGACACAAAAAGTATCATCTCAAGGTGAGTCAGTGCAGTGTGCATGGACGTCTTTGAAATGAACAGTCCCTGCTCGCAGCGTTACCTGTGTTTTGTCAGAAACTGACCCCGAGCAGATGATTCTCAGTGCCTTCGAGGTCTTTGACCCAGAAGGAGCAGTAGTTCCTCAGGATGGGAGGGAAAGAGCGACTGTGAGATATTATTCACAGTTTTCACAGCAGAGACTCGGTGACCCTTCACAGGAATTCATCACACAGATAACAACGAATTAGACCAATAAAGGAGGCGTTTCATGATGATGCAAGGCTCAGTCAGTGAAATGCAGAATGTAAAGTCAGAGAGATTGAAACAGTGATTCTTGTTCCTCGTTGCTCCCCTGCAGCACGAAATAACACCTCATGTCACGGGCTGACAAGTTTACAGAGGATGAGGTGAGTCGTTGCTTGGCAACAAGGTGAAATATCGGATGTATCAATATGAGATACAAGTGGTCGAGATACTTTTGAACAACTATAAAGTGAGCCTTGATGAATACTCGGAATAAAAGGCAATTTGATTATTTAAAGCCCTTAAATACCCGCTGCAGCTTATTACAAAGATCCTTCACAGCTCCTTCTTCAGTAACAGTGCCATTCATAACCTACATGGCCCCTGGATAGAGACACAGTAATCTCATTTGTGCAGCAACAGATGTTTCTCTTAAAAACATCCGTTGACTGGGGAGTGAAAACTATGCCTCTCATTCTCTCGGGAGGGTTCAAAGAGACCAGTATAATCACTATGAAATTTGTCACATTTGTACTGGTTTAAAGAGACATGCAGACTTACTGCAGACTCGCTATGTTGTAAAACAGTAAAAGCTCTCCTTCTCTGTCCCTCACACACAGCCTGCACATATTTTATAAGGAAGCTTTCATGTTCTGTTTATCAAAACACCGCAAAGGGGGGAGGTAAGGGGGCCAAGAAAATGCATATGAAACAACAAAACCCCTCGACAAATAAACAGCGCAGTGTTCCCATGGCAGCGCGTTGCATTAATCTGAAGGCTGGTTTCCCATGGCTGTGTCTCACTGCCCCATAGACCTCCACTCTGTCTCACTGATGGCTCCTGTGATTGCAATCATCCATCTTACTGTCAAAAGCAAAAAAAAAAAAAAAAAAAAGGGCAAGAAAGGGGAAATCGCACACACCATCTCGCTCTCGCTCCCTTGTGTCCAGCAAACAAGGCACCCCAATGTGAGCAGAGCCGACACATGGACCACAGGCCCTCTGCATTGTGTGTGTGCCCGGGCTTGTATGATTAACAGCGAGAACATGTGTGGGTGTGCATCTTTGGTTGTCTGTGCCTGCACTATACTGCATGATCAGTCACTGGAGTGTACACGGGGGGGAAGCGGTGGACATGTCTGATCTTGCAGCTGATCAAAAGCACCAGAGACTTGTTCCCTTGTGGTCGTGCGAGCGGGCCCTCATATCAACACGTCTCTGTTCAGTAGACAGGAAAAACAAGAGGAGAGAGACAGACAGACAGAGGAGGAGGAGGAGGAGGGGTACTTGAAGAGAGAGACAGAAACAGGCAGGCATAGCAAAGATGAAAGGATGCATAAAGAGGCCAGAGTGGAGTATGACAATGATACATAACCGCACTTATCTCTCTGTTCTGATGAGCTAATTGAAAGGCAAAAGTCAGCTCTGTTTGTGTCTGTAGATTTAACAGCGTGCGTGATCCTTCGATTCAAACCTGACAGCAACTGTCTGTAAAACGCTAAATGTGGAGAAAGAAGAAAACTCTGATGTCTATAAACTTCCCCTCGGGATGCGGCTGGTTACCTTAACTACAAGACCTTGTGTTGTGTGATCACCCACAGAGAGGACAAAGAGCAGGAGCGAGAGGAAGAAGGAAAAAAAAAAAGGAGGACAAAGGGAGGAGGAAGATGAGGAGGTGGAGCTTCTGTGGAGCTTCTGCTTGTAAATTGTCTGGCCACGCTGTGAAGTTGTGGTGTGAGAATGTAATTATGTGCAATAAAGTGGTGATCCTATGAAATGAATCCCTTTGTTGTTTGCAACTTTAATCTCACTCCAGTATAACCAACGCAGAGCCGTTTCTGCTGAGCCCAGCAATTTGCAAACGGAACAACAAAGCCCACCTGAACATGATTTAGTGTAAAAGATAAAGAGACGTACACAAACACACCAGAACAGATGTATTTAAAAGGTAGACTCAACACTCCAAAACATATGATTACTTATGACACCGAAGACAAACAGATCGGCCTATTGTCGTGATTAACGACTAGATCAAAACTCGGATCTTGTCGTAAACTCGCTTCCTTGCCAAAAGTCGTAGAAAGAGATAAAACACATTCTCATGTCTGAACAATAATAGACTGTATATAAAGATGGACACAAGATAGTAGGTTTGATTGGTTTGTGAAGACCTGTTTTAAGGCCTTGACTCAAAGTTTGTATTAGTTGCCTGGTTGGCTAATGCTAGCAAGCTTGTTTAGCAAGGTTTACTGCAATGATGCATCACATGACACAGGTCCCTGCCAATTAATGTCAATTAGTAATCCACAGATTCTTATAAAAAGTACAATTTTATTCACAAAAACTGGATTACAAATTTCTTGGATACTCTGTACTTAATAATGTGAAATAACGTTTGGATTAAAAATCCTACAGAAAAGATCAGCACCACAAGCACAGCTCAGAGGTCCAATTCTACAAGTAGTTGGGACCAATATCCTCCTGTCATTCAAAGCAGCTAAAGCTCCTAATAATGCAAACTTTAAGGCTTAATAAAGAGTTATGAGTTATGACCTTGTAAAGCTGTTATGAAAGGAGAAGTTTTTCTGTGAGCTTGCTT